TTGCAATCGAAGCATCTCGTATAAAACGAATGGTGAAATCGAGCTTTCTAACTACCGGCGTAGCACAGGGGTTAAGGTGTCCGATTTGTACGCACGTGGTCGCGGGTTCGATCTGCGGTGGGCATACTTTTTTTTTTCTCGAACATTTTGTTTTATCGAGGCGTTTGGCGATATTTATGAGTGCGTAAAGCTTTACTCTTGTATAAATGCTGCCCTTATTGATGAAAATCCCTTGGAAGTGGCAGTCAGACGTCATCTGATGGACCATCAGATGACGTCTGATGGTCCATCACGTTCCATCAAGGTTGCTGACTGGCAGTCAGTGTCCCAAATTACGTATCTTGATGGAATTTTCAATGGGGAGGCGACCGTCTTTCGCTCTAAGAGTGTCGACCTACACAACGGTGCGTCCGACTTTGGCTACCGTTGCGGGGTTCACATTACCAGACGACTTTCTGAAGAATCTATGGCGTTTCCCGCTACTGACTTCAGACGCAGCGTTTTCGAGTTCCTCCATAAAGAAGAGGTTTTGCTGCAATGGTGACGCTGACAATAGCAGACGGACTTTAACGTGCGGTCGGAGACGATCAGATGGCGAGATAAGATCCGTAGTTGGGCTCTAACGCCGTGCTCTTCAATGGGCTGAACGTGAACAGAATAAGTTTGAAATAAAAACTTGACGCAGATGGGTTTTCTCCAGCACCTAACATTTTTACGATCTTTACACAAAATGTATGTTTTTAGCTCGCAATGGGTACGAAGTTTCTTGTACCGAGAGGGGGGCCAAACTAAAGATTTTCCCAGAAAACAAACAGATATATCTGCAGTGCTTCGATACCATATACTTGTTTAGACGATTATTTTGGCAATTGTGCTGGCTAAACGAGTGAGCATGGCCATGCTCCGGGAACAGTAGGCATGAAACGTCTATTGAAAGTTACATGAAGAGGAGCATAAGCTATTTCAGTGTTTTGCAATGAATGCTCACCTGACCGTGCGATTACAGGTTATACATTTTGAAGAAAAAAAAAACTAAGACATAATTTCTGTTTGAAATATCTATACTGCCAGAGCTCAGTCTGGGCTTGAAATAGGGCGAAGCAGGTTCGACTTTGTGGACGAACAACACGGCTGTCGTACTATGACAGCTGGGGTCTTTAACGTTAATCACGCCATCGGGGTTTATCTACCGCACAACGGAATAATGTACATTCACATCGAACGGGCAGGACAGGAAGAAAGCTAGTCTGGCTCTGCAACAAGAACGTTCGAGCCATTAGCCATGGGCTGCTGGGCGCCGTTCTAACATGTTTGACCATGAGGTGGACGTATGAACCAATGTTAGTTTCAATATAATTCAGCGCTTGAAGTTTTTGCAAGATATTTTTCACATTTGTGGCGAAGAGGTGCCCTAAGTCTAGCTTGATAAACTGAATCAATTCGTTCATTCATTCAACTCTATTTTCCGTGCCCATGAACAGCTAATGCCCGAATAATGACTGAAAACCACATTTTGTGTGCCAATAATGTCTACACAATTTGTATGGGCAACGAAACTGGCGATGAGTGTATTTAACAAAAAATAGCAATAACGCCAAATAACGTGCAAGAAATACAAGTACGAGACTAGCAGACAACATTCGCGCCGTATTTTAAGAAGTTCACAAATAACATGTAGGAGACACACTAAAAATAGTTAAATATTAGTCAAAGAACGCTTGAACATTTGCATACAGGAGTTGAAGATGCAGATTTTGGTTGTACAGAACGTGCTATAAAAATGTTCTATTAGGTGCGGTTAGATGGATCTTTCACAGTGAGAATTTGGGAGTAACACTTAATATTACCTTCGGTATGTAAGGGTCGATATCTGACATCAGGCTCAGATAGTCAATTAGACTGTGCAAGCATTTGTGTAAAAAATGAGGTCGCTCTATTCGTCTGGTGTTTAGTGCCAGACAACCGTATCGTCGAATAAGTCTCGCATAATTGAAATGAACAGTGCGACCAAAATAGTGGAGTAAAGAATAAGTAAGAAAACATCTTCACTTTTTCTATCATTGCTTGGTTAGGAGAACCAATACAATTCCAAACGGCAGAATTAGACTCAAGTTTCATACGCCTCAAATAACGGTAGAAATCTTATAAAAAAATCACAATAAAATGTCTTGCTACATACTATAAATAATACCTAACATTCAAAACGCAGCATTTGTAATGCTAGAAACATGTTAATTGAAAGACGAAGTTAAGTCAACATATACACCTATATCTCTCTGGCACTCAACCCAGTGTATAGGGGACAAAACTACCTTTTTATTAGGATTTAGAGTCATCATATTGCAGTCGCACCAATGATGCACCGCATTAACATTATTTATTAGTAGTACACAATCATGACTAGATGAAACCTGCTGAAACAAAATGATGTCATCAAGATATTGCAAGATATTTGAATGGCGGATACAGAAATTCATATAATTTATGAATACTAGTCAAACATTGAAAATAGCGCAAAAAAGGCAAGGACAAGAAGTATACAGGACAAGCGCTATGTCTATACTTCTTGTCCTTGTCTTTTTTGTGCTATTTTATAGGTTTGACTAAGATGAACCAACTAGCCCAACAACGTGCCCTTCTACTTTATGAATACATTGAAAAGAATTGGCCATAGTATGAACCCCTGCGGCACACTCGAGTATGATAGATAAGATAGAGAATGGTGTTCGAATATTTAAACAAATTGTTTCATTCTTACAAAAAAAAACTCATAAATAAGGAGAAAAATTTTTTGTCCAGTCCACATAACCTTAATTAATGTAATATAATTGAATGATCAACCAAGCCAAAACAATTTGACAGATGAAAATACACGGCACTTTTCTCCCCGCGCTCACTGACAATCAGTTGCACAAAGGTTAGAAATGATACCAAACTGGTTTCTACAGATACAGCAGTAAAAGCATTATGCGAAAGGCTTTCATTCGTTTAAGAAAAATTGAATTTCCCGGTCATCGATACAAATACAGGTGGGTGGGAACGCTCTGAGATATTGTAATGCTTAGAATATATTAAGATTTATGATCATAACTAAAATTTGAAGCGATTGAGGCAGATGATACACGAAAAACAGCGAGTGCTCAAGCGAATTATAGGATGTTGATTATGATGAAAATTTCCCCAGACTGCGGTAAAAGTTTACAAATGTTTTTTTATTAATACTAATAATAACTTTTTATCAACGATACATTATAGATGAAGTAGGTGCAAGAAAAAAACTTCATATACAGCTTGACGAGCCCTCGGCACCCTTATCACACAAAGAGAATAATTCAAAAAGTACAAAAAGGGAGAAAAAGAAATCATCCGGTCTCATTATAAAAACTCAGCAAAAAGCACAAACAGCACACACACACAAACTACAGTTCTAGAAAAAAAAAAAAAAAACATACGACGGAGTGTAGAAAATGGAATTGTTTCTATAGTTATTTTTTCGTGTTCAAATAATTCTCGAAACCTTAGGAAGCGTAAACTTGAGCATTTGATAGCCACATTTAGTTTTATATACCGGAACTTTCCAGCTTTCGGCATCACGAGTGGAGTAAACAGGCATAGCACCCTGTAAGGGATCTAATTCAGTCAATAAACTTGATTTTCTTATGTGGGTAAGCTTGTTATTGTATAATTTTTGAATATCAAGCACTTGAAAGCTTTCAAATAGTTGTTCGGTATGATAATTATATAGAACACTTGAAATAATTCGTCACAATTTTTTTTTGTAATATATATAGTTCTTTTTTTAAGTTTGTTAAAGTATTAGTGCCCAAAAACCAGATGGCAATAGGTTAAGAGAGAATAAAAGAAGGAATTTTAAGTTAATACTTTCACAGAGGTTGGGAGCACAGACTGATGTCGGTATGTTAACCCTATAAGACGTGAAAACATAGAGTTAACATGATGCATATTGTCATCCCAAAACATGTTTTCTAAAAAAATAGCGCCTAAAGTCTTATGAGAATTTACAATTTGCATTGAACATGAATTTAATACGATGCCTTTGGTCGAAACCACTGGTTTGTTTTTTGTAGATGAAGAAACAGAACTTCAAAGGGTCGTTCGGCGTTTGCTTTGATGGCGTGCACTTCTTATTGTTGGGGTTGTATTGTTCGATAAATGAAGTTCCCAGTTCTAATGTGGCGTCACCGTTTCACAGTAGCGGACATTGATATGTTTTTTTTCCCGTGTCCTTTTGCTTCTACTAAGTTTCGCATCTTTTACTGCAGTCTGAGGTAGTTTTCAATAAGATCAAATCATAGGTCGTCCGCCTACTCGACTATATACACTTTTGAATTACACTAGTGCTAGAAATTACAAAGAAGTCAACTAAAGTGAAATATTTGGCATGTCCGTTGTATGATTCCACTACCGGCAGTTCTCAACAATTACCCATACCTTTAGCTTAGAAAATATTGCCTAATGTTAGAGCACACGTTCTAATGCTTTTTATAGAACAAATTCTGAGTCTCATAAGAATACTCATTTTCGTCTGCAGGCTGAATCAATCCTGATCTATAATTTAGTGGAAATATGTCAGCCAAGTAAACGATTACGTTGCTTGTTTTCAGCATTTGCTAGAATGGCACAAACACATTCTTAAATATTATGTTGGATAGCACCAATAGCATAGGTTCGAAATTTGGTTTCGCTTATTTTGGCTTCTCACGAATAATAATAAATAGACAACGTGTGCCTTAAAGACATATATTAAAATTGGCTTATTTGTTATTAAAACTAAGAAGGAATATTCGTAATTATTATGATTGAAATCCGCGTTACACTCAAAAACAAAGTATTGGACATAGCGTTTATGTACATTTAGAAAAGACAGTCATTCTCAATGCAAATTAATTTTGATTAAAGCAAAAAGGAAACTAATTATACTACCTTGAAGGAATAGTTAACTAAACGCATTTATCGGGAGCTTGAAAAGTTTTGCTTACAGTTTTCTTGGCTTTGGGATCAAACATTTTGTCCACATAAAGACGACCTACTGCGTGTGCCATTGAACCTGATATTTTGGCGATACACTTCTTCCACAGTGGTTCGTCTTTTTTTACGCCAAGTGCCTCTTTATTAAACTCAAAGACGAGCTTCTCAAGCTCTTTAGATGCCACAGAACCATAAGTTCGAATCAACTTCCAGAACACAAAATTGTACAGTGTAGATCTGCGGAAAAAATGCGGCGGATCACGCACATATTAGAATAACGTTTGTGATTTGGTCGCCATATTCATCCAGCGCAAGTGTTCACCTCTATCTCTAATATTCTACTGCTTGGCGCGCGTCCAATTAAGCAGGGGTTGTAGGACAATACCACATATACGCTTTAAATATGGCCACGCGCGTCTACAAGCCAGCGCGCCCGTGACCGAACGGCTATCGTGCTTTGCTCCGACGCAAATGATCCGATGTTCGATGCCTGGGAGCAGATGCACCGTTTTGTTATTCCTATAAATCCCGCGTTCTGGTAAATGCGAGAACCCTTTTGCTTGTTCGAGAACCAAATATTCTACGCACCGAACCTCCAAGGCCGATTGTTTCAGAAGTCCTCGCGTGTACTGTCGGGACCAAAATTTTGGTTAAGACTTTAGTGGGCTAATGCGTCACAGCTTGGAGCGTAGAGCGAAAGCTCGCGCTTGGAACCTCCTGGGTTCGATCCCCACTGCCCCCGCCCGTTTCGATCTGGATAAGTGTCGTACAGGCACGCGTTCGTGTGGTCACTACCGCGCGATGCACGTTAAAACCCCCACTGTTAGCGGTTCTACTGCACTGGCACAATTTCTCATCAACAGCTAAGCAACCGATGACCGGTTGAGGAGTATCTCTATCAAGGCTGTATACATATATAAAGCCAGTCAATTTTTTTTTTAAGTCAGTTTTGTTGTAGCGTTTGATCTTGCTGTTAGGCCGCCATCAACGCTTGGGACGCTAGCCTTATTCATTTTTTTGGGGCACAAGTTAGCCTCAATAAATGTTTAGCTTCCTTCAGTCATTCTTCTCCTCGTCAATTGTCATCCGTGAAATTTTGGTGGATGGGAACAGCAAAACCCATGCAGCGTACCCCTCCGGGGCCCGCAGTTCAAGTCCGTTCCCCAGCGAAGAGGACTTTTTGAGGAGCACGCAGTCCCACGAGTAAACCGCCGTACTAAAGGACAATCCCCGGTATTCGATCCTATGCCACAAAAGCAAAGCATGAAGAACGAGACAATGACTGCCCCACCCGTTGTCATCTCGCACGCCGGCCCCCGGACACCCGCTCTTTTCCATGGCAAAAGCTATGAAGACATCGACGACTGGGAGCAGAAGTAAAAACGAGCGGCCCGCCATGACTGATGGAGACCGTAGCAGTGTCTTCGGAACGTTTACTTCGCTTTGGAGGCCAAAGCATGGAACTTATTTGAGAAGCATGAAGCGTCGATCACCTCCTGGAACATCTTCAAGCCTGAGCTCCGAGGTAGGTTTACCAACCCGCAGAGAAGAAAAGGCGCAGAAGAGCTTCTTCAAGCGAGGGTTCAATATCCTAACGAGAGCGTCGTTAGCTTTGTTGAAGATGTTCTTCGACTCAGAAACCGTGCGGATTCTGATGCCCCTGAAGCAAAGAAGCTGATGGTCCTAATGTGAGGTGCGAAGGAAACACTTCGGAGGTATTGTGCGAAACCCGCATACGACGATCGAGGCATTCATCACGGAAGCCATGAGCGTCGAGCATGATCTTCTCGCCAAAGCCAGCCACTACCAGAGGCTACCCTGTGTCAGTGCGGTTCCGCAGTTCTCTTGTCACCATGGCCACAGCATTCCGGACATTCGCGAGCTTATCCGCGTCTTCGTCCGGTTGGAGCTCAAGAAGCTCATGCCGACTGCTGAGCGAACGGCCGCAATCCCCATCGCCAGATTGTTCGCGAAGAAATCTAGGGAGCGTTCCTACCAGATGCCCCTGAAGCCGTGGCCTTACCCGAAGAGGCGACGCTGACCTACACCGCAATGGCCCGACGACCAGCGCCAGCTGCTCAACAATACCTGGTGGCGCCATGAAGGGACTCACCAACGCAGCCGTAGCCCCGACGCCGTGACGGAAGACAGAATTCGACCGCCAAGACCATCCGGTGCCAAGGAAAACCGACGTATGGAGGACAGCGGATCGACGACACATCTACTGTCACAGCGAGGAAGCGGACCACGTTTACGAACGATGCCCCTACTGCCAACTTGGGCTGCGTGTGTTACGCCCGAACGACTCACGCACAAGGTATGACGGACACTGTAGCGGCATCGGGGAGTACCTCCGACTCTTGTTATCCTCCGCGCCGTTTCCCCGCCGTGAATCGCGCTCACCATCGCCACGACGTTCGGCGTCTCCAGGGCCACGATCCTGCCAAGAAAACTTGACTCCTCTGCGTCGCCGGGAAAACTAAGCGCGGCAACGCCTGGAGGTGGCGTTGCCGAAGACGACCGAAGTAAAGAACCTTCAAGAACGCCGGAGCGATCCCGCACTCCTGACACCGCGCGTCCCAACAACGCTTCTGCAAAGGTACCCGATGGTGTGTCCTACTGCGTTTATCTTTCACCTCTTCTTTGTGTTGTCCGATCTATCGCGTTATTCTTCAATACATCTTCTTTCTTTTCCTCTTCTGTGTTCGGTCCGAATAAATCAGTTCCTCACGAGGCTCTGCCTGCGATGGTCGTGCTCTGATAGCGGTCCACGAACCGCCCAACCCTACATTATTTGGCGACGAGGGTTAAAAGAAGCTTTTCCTGCGCTGGACTGATCCTCAGTGAGGACTACAGCCTGACCTCAACGGTACCCTCTGTATTGGACAGTTTTCTGCGTTTCCCGGTGGAACCATCTTCTTCGCACGATTGAAGTCAAAATGGCGACCATTTCGAACGGCACCATTGGGTGCTGAGAAGCCGTCTGGCATCGTCACGGCATAGAGCGGCAAGGTTCCCCCGGAGTTTTTGGCTAAGTTGGGACCTGCACCCATTTCATGGGAGCGGTGGATAAAAATGTTCGAGCGTTATTTGGTGGCGACGGGCGCCCGAGAGTACCCTGCAGTACGGCGTCAAGCGATGCTGCTGACCTGCCTCGGCGAAGCCGGCCAGTAGATTTGACTCACTACCAACGCCTGAACCTGCTGTTGATCAGGCATTAGCACCGCTAGCAGCAGCAGGTGGCGAGCAAGGTGTACGCGCTACTTCTCATGTCTACAAAGAAACCATCAAGTTGCTGGAAGCCGAATTCATGCAGCCGACAAATGTGACGCTGCGGGAGCTTCAGTTCCACTCACGTAGACAAAGCGAAGGCGAGTCTCGTCAGGATTTTCTATCCGCATTACGGACGTTAGCCGTCCAGGCAAATTTTGGAAGCAAACGCAAGATTGCATCCGCAAGCAGTTCATGATTGGGGTAGCATCGACGGAAATTCAAGAACGCATGGTCCTTGATGCAGCTCTTTCGTTCGATGTAGTGATGCAGACCATCACGAACCTTGAGCGGTCACGACGCGAAGTTCGAGAATGGGCTAACGCCACCGCGTCAACATCCAGTGGGCAGAAGTGTCAAGTTACAGAGACGTGAGAGAGCCGCGTCAAAGCCCGGAGACTATCTAGCGAGAAACAGTTCGAAGGGCGCTGAGGGCATTCTCCGGGAAGGACACTCCGACAGACCCCACATCAGAGCAGTCCTCGACAGCACTCATATCATGAGTCATCACCGTCATCTCTACAGAGGGCATCACCGCGACCCTTTGCAAGGCCGGGTGCAATCTCAAGCGACACGTATACCGCACGTGGTTTAGAACCATGCGTGACCTGCGGAGGTAGCGGGCGAAACCCGTATTCCTGCAGACAGCAACGTCATGGACAGGCGTCCGACCATCGTCGGGACTTTAAAGTACAGTTCAACCTCCCACGAGACGGTTCGCAAAACCTACAGGCTTCATGACAGCCAGAAAATTTCCGTCGCACGCGCGTCTGTACGAATTGCGGGAATGGCCCACACAAATGCCAGAGCTACGACACCTTTCCCGCAAGACAAAAATATTGCTTCAACTGTGGCCGATGGGGTCATCTTGATCGTGTATGCCGGAGTATGCGTCGAAATCGTCAGCGATCCCAACGCAAGCAAGTGGAGGAAGTCCTCTCAGATAGCGATGCCTCCGACGATGGCGATTATGACCCTGACATTATTTGTCACATTGGTGAATCTTCGAAGGCGAGAATCTACATTAGTGTCAAGGTCTTTGAAACGCCAGTGAAATTTCTTCTTGACACCGGGTCATCCGTCTTACTAATGGATAAGACTACGTTCACCCAATTGGTTTGCAAGTGACGCCCACGTGGTTGCTCCACCAGCCACATTGTTGAACTACTCCCGTCAGCCCATACAAATCCTGGGAGCTTTCAAAGCGATGGTGGCATTCAGAGAACGGCACGCGCAGCTGCTGTTTTATATCGCAGACCGTGGAACCTCTTTGTTGGGCATGGACGCAGTCGTGGCGCTCGACATTAAAATGAGCGGAGCAACAAGGTTTTGCTTTTATACTGAGACTGGTGACATCGATGAGGCTTCCGCAAGTCCGGCCGAACAATCTCCACCGTTTTCCTTACACACACTGACACCCAAATCAATGGCAGTAAAATCAGCCACGACCCCGAGGCTGGACGACTCGTCATTGGCACTGGAGGAAGAGTGGACTGAACGGCTTGCATCTCTAGCGGAGGCAAACGTGGCTCCACGCGCGCTCCCTCGAGTTAAGTCAGTGTCTACCCCTCCGAAGCTGCCAGCATCCCTTACACACTTCGAGCATCTTTTTACGCCAGTATTGGGCCGAGTCAAGGGAGTCGTCCGCAAGTTGAAGACCCGCTCCTCAGTAATTCTCGTTCAACATCGGCTTCGGCGAATTCCCCAAGCTGCTCGACAACCAGTTTCTGAGGAAATTAAACGTCTTGAGGAAGCTGGGGTGATCGAGCGTATCAACGCCTCCGAATGGGTATCCCCAGTAGTAATGGTCCGAAAAAAAGATGGCACTATCCGAATGTGTGTCGACCTTCGCGAAGTAAACAAAGCGGTAGTCATCGACAGCTACTCGCTTCCTCACATTGAAGAACTTCTGAACGCACTACATGGAGCACAGAGGTTCTCAAAACTGGACCTTGCTGCAGCATACC